AGAGTGAGTCTTGATGGGCCAGATGGATGGGCCCGTGGCTGGATTGGTAAAGGGCAGAGAGCTCCAGTCCGACTCAGACGCCAGCAAGGTGGAGGTGGAGTACTGGTTTGGGCTGGTATCATCAAAGATGAGCTTGTGGGGCCTTTTCGGGTTGAGGATGGAGTCAAGCTCAACTCCCAGTCCTACTGCCAGTTCCTGGAAGACACCTTCTTCAAGCAGTGGTACAGGAAGAAGTCTACATCCTTCAAGAAAAACATGATTTTCATGCAGGACAATGCTCCATCACACGCGTCCAAGTACTCCACAGCGTGGCTGGCAAGAAAGGGTATAAAAGAAGAAAATCTAATGACATGGCCTCCTTGTTCACCTGATCTGAACCCCATTGAGAACCTGTGGTCCATCATCAAATGTGAGATTTACAAGGAGGGAAAACAGTACACCTCTCTGAACAGTGTCTGGGAGGCTGTGGTTGCTGCTGCACGCAATGTTGATGGTGAACAGATCAAAACACTGACAGAATCCATGGATGGCAGGCTTTTGAGTGTCCTTGCAAAGAAAGGTGGCTATATTGGTCACTGATTTGTTTTTGTTTTGTTTTTGAATGTCAGAAATGTATATTTGTGAATGTTGAGATGTTATATTGGTTTCACTGGTAATAATAAATAATTGAAATGGGTATATATTTGTTTTTTGTTAAGTTGCCTAATAATTATGCACAGTAATAGTCACCTGCACACACAGATATCCCCCTAACATAGCTAAAACTAAAAACAAACTAAAAACTACTTCCAAAAATATTCAGCTTTGATATTAATGAGTTTTTTGGGTTCATTGAGAACATGGTTGTTGTTCAATAATAAAATTAATCCTCAAAAATACAACTTGCCTAATAATTCTGCACTCCCTGTATTGTTCTCTACGAACAGAAAATCATCCAGGTAATGGATGACGCTATGGCACCTGCTTATATTTAAGAGCAGCCAATACAAGGATCCGCAAAGTGTCAAAAATCTTTGGGCTACTCTTTGAGCCGAAAGTGAGCCTTATAAAAAGTAATATAGGCCCTTCCACTTAAAGCCATAGTGATGGATGGATGGATGGGAAGTAGCTTTTAAAGGTGTTCCGAATGTCAGTCTTGCTAAGCCAGGCGCCTATGCCTGCAGATATGATGGTAGATACTGCATTGTCAATGGTAGTGTACTGTAGGAAGAATTCTTCAGAGGGATAAGAGAATTGAGATTAAGAACTACTGAAAAATTGGGCGCAGAGAGGTCTATGATTAGTCTCTGCTTATGTGTTTTTCCCCGTGACCAAACCAATAGGGTTGGTTCTCCAGCTATAAATTAGGGGGTTCAGTGAATGGTCCTAGTACAAACCCTTGTTCTTGCTCAATCAGTAGCAATATATCTATTGCGTTTGTGTTGGTCAAGGCAGACTGAAGATTGTTAGACTCCCAAGTCTCTCCCGGCATGTAGATAAGACCCGTGTAGAAACCTTGGGAGAAACCTGACACTAAATACTCAACCAAAAGTTTAGATGGGTGGTTGGACAGTAGCCCCGCCAGAACGTCAAAATTAACTGATGTCCGGTACGGTTTAAAATGCATTTTATTAGGGCACATGGCTTTCACGTGTGCCCTGAAACAATGCGAGCATACATGCAACAGATGAGATGCACTATAAGCAGAAGCCCCAACATTAAATTTGTTACAAATTTGGGACTTGCCTTGGACTACCCAGTTTATCCCTGCCTTGTGTCTCCAGTTGTTATGGAGTGGGTATGACTAAGCGAGTGGACAGTGAGGTGGCGCAGGGGGGGGATGCCAGTCATGGGCGACATCCAACGATCTTCGCTTGGTGTCTGGCCCGGTGCCTGCTCTGTGTTATTTAGGGGATTAAGAACAAGATAATAAATATATTTTAAAAAAATAATAAAAATTTTTTTAAAAAAGGAGAGAAAAACACGCTTCAGAGCAGAAGTAAACTAACAAGCAAATGCTTGAAACAAAGCAGTTTTGATGTACAGTCTTGTGCTGGTCTTGGGACCCGTCGGGGCTCAAGTAGTTGCTGCCGCGTATGCTTCTGTGGAGGGTTGATGAGGGATAAATGGAGTGATTCTGGTTGGGTCCCATGAATGTGGGGTCTTGGATTCAGCATGTATTAGACAGTCCTGTGGGAGACCCAGGTCTTGTAGTAGCGTTGTTGTGCCCTGTAGATTCAGAAGTGGGTACTCCATGTCCCCATGTTGCACTAGGAGTGTGCGGGGCATGCGCCAGCGGTATTGAATCTTGCATTGTTGAAGGAGCATTGTGAGGGGTTTAAATGACTGTCGCCAGGTTAGTGTGCTGCTAGATAGGTCTGCATAGAACCCAAGTGACATGTTCTCAAATTGGAAGAGGGGTTTCCCTCTGATTGCTGTCAGGACGGCCGCTTTGTCTGTGCTGCTCTGAAAGTGCACTTTCAGGTCCCTAGGGACAGGGGCAGGTGCTTTGGCTGGTTTGGCGATGCGGAAAATTCCGTCCAGGGATCCTGTTTTGGTGGGAGCAAGGCCTCTATCAGTCTCCTCAGTAGATGTGGCGTTTCTGCTTTGGGAACCTCCTCCGGGATCCCCCTAATTTTCAAATTGTTTTGTCTTCCTGTGCCACAAAGCGGTGTTCATGCGCTAGGTTCTGTCTATGCAATTCTTGTACTGCTCGTTCCAGCTTCTCTATTTGCTGGGAGCCCTTGTGAGAAGCTTCCTCCAGTGTGTCAATGCGGCCTGTCAGGCCCTGCAGACGGCCATTAATTGTAGCTATGTCAGCTTGCAATGTGCTTTGTAGTTCTGCCAGGAGCCCCTTCAAGACAGAGGTAGTGACTGGGGATGAATCCAGTTCCATCGGGGTCGGCTTAGATTTCGCTAGTGTGGGAAGTGTATGGTTTCATCTTCCAGGGATATGTCATCTGAAAAGTCAGAACAGCCTCCCGAGAATGCAGCCATTTTAGATCTGCTCGCGCCATGCGCCTGTCTCCACAACTCTCCGATATTCATCCCGAGATTGAGCAGTCGGGATTGGGCTTTTTTTAATTGCGTCCCATGGTGACAGGGCTGTGATGTGAGGTTCCTGGTGTCAGGTTTGGCTGAGTAATTTCCTGGATTTTATGTTTTTTTTGCTTGTAGGGCGGAGCTTCAGGAGTGTGCAACCGTTTGCTTTGGCAGTTAGCCTCTGCTCCCCCATAATACTCTTTTACATTCCATTGGCTGACCTTAGCTCTGGCAGTGTGAAAATGTTTTATCATAAATAAAGGTTTGTTAAAAGTGAAGCAAGGTTTCTGCCTGTCTATCAGTTAAATTTAACTGTTGAAGTACTTCACTTATATTAATTAGACTTGTGTCAATCATACCACTCTGCAAACTTAAACAAATACCGTTAGTTTCTAACTTAATAAAAATATTTTACATTTTCTTCTAAAGTTAAAACATTATGAGACACATGAAGGGGCTGGGGGAAATGAGACACATGGAGGGGCTTTTGGGGGAAATGAGACACATGGGTGAGGAAATGAGACACAAGGAGGGGCTGGGGGGGAATGAAACACATGGAGGGGCTGGAGCGGAAGGAATGAGACACATAGAGGGGCGGTGGGACGCAATTAGACAATCTCTTACAAGCCCCTTGTGCGTCTCTTATCCCCCCCCCCTCGTTGTATGTCTCCTATATCCTACTGCACAGCGCTCCCCCTTCCTGTCACTGCATGGAGAGTGACTGAGCAGGTGGACATGATAGAGGAGCCTCTGTTCCCCTATCCAGTCCAATAGGAAGGGATCACAGAGAGCACAGAACTGTCTCCTGTCGGATCGGCTACAGTAAAAACAGAGAATCCCCAGTGTGGACCTCAGGTGAGCCTGACCAGGCACAGGGGAGGAGTGGCTGCAATGTGTTTGACTTTTGAACTCTGGCAATCTTGTGAAACTTACGTAGCTATCACCTGCTAAAAATGAAGCATGGACGAAAAGAAGCTAACTTATTCACTAAACTTTACCTTTTCATAAATGAAATTCAAATTGAAAAATTAAGGCAAAAAAAGCCAAGCCGTGACTATGGTTGAGTTGGAGAATCTTTCCAAATCAGCTCATTTTTGTCTCAGTTTTTTCATTTGGATTTAGTTGTAAAAATGTTGAGCTTAGTGTTATTATTATTATTATTATTATTATTATTTATTTATTTTTTAAACAGTGTTCATTAACACTTTCTATTTCTGTCTTTTAATAACATACAATGCATCTCAACCATTCCTGTTCAGCCATATTTAATTTTTCAATCATGTCAGGCCTAGCATAACCGTTCTTAATTATACAAGAGTTGGATTAATGCTAATGACATTTTTTATTTTGTTTTCTCAATATTGTATTCAGTCCTGAAAATTCTTTCCTTTTCAGGCAAATGTTATGTGTCCAGAATTTGCTCTGTAGTATTGAACCGAGTTGAGTTTTTTATACTCCATTTAAATGCCTGGTTTAAAATAAAATATATGAAATTATATAATACAAAATGCATGACATTTTAATTTATGTCAAGTACGTAGCTCCAACATGAATTTCATTTTACACAAATTATGTATTTTAGGTGAAACTATGCATTCTAGTAACAAATTATGACACGTTTCAGTTTTACTGAAAGTAAGTTTTTTCAGAATGAAATGAACCTTTGACAAATACTCACAGCGCTGATCAGGCAAATTATCAGTATAGAAGACTTTGCACAGTCATGGCAAGATAGGGATCATACACTACATACTGTATTCTGAGATAATGAGAAAATCTGGGTATCAGCAGTATAGAATCCATGACATATAGCTTTTGTTGTCACAAACAAGAATTTGGGCGCAACTAAAAAATCAGCCAATGAGAACCTGCTATCACTTGTTTTCCTGACTCCCATTCTCTTTAAAAATGCCAAGAAAGTGACAGTTCAGTAGGGACTTTTAAACTCACTTACAGAGTGTCTACTCCTTTGATCCAACATGACTTTCTCAGACGCTGAAAAGGCTGCAATTGTCTCCATCTGGGGAAAGGTAGCCGGCCACACCGATGAGCTTGGAGCAGAGGCTTTGGAAAGGTAAGGCTGACACGTCTGAGTCTTATTTATATTGATTTATTGTGAAAAAAAAAAAATATATGCAAAATATCCAATCAGTAATGCCAAGTTATAAAAAAACATACAGAATCATTTAGTGAAGTAAAACATCTAAGTGAATTTCAAATTTAAGGTTAAACTAGCTGAACTGGATAAGTTCTCTAAGTCAGTAATGCTTTTGGTTTGGCTCCTGTGGCCTTAAATATGAAATGACACTTTAATTTACCTTGAAATTTTACTTTAGTAAGTAACCCTAAAAAAACATTTAGCCATTCTTTGCTTTTGTAGAAAATGTGCTCAGTAAAGCAACATACTTGTACAACCTTTAACATGTGTTAACATGACTACATAAATTGCTGGGACAGGGAATTAAGAATTTTAGGCCAAAATAGTCAAATTGGATTATTTTTCCTCCTGGCTTATTATATTTCCAGGTGAGATTTTTTTTACCTTAAATGCGCAGTTCCCAGAAAAATGTTCAACAATTAATGATTTGTTTGTGAATAATGCTGAACATAACTGATGTGTTGGATATCTTTTTGTCTGACGTTGTTTTAATCCACTTTTTCTAATGTCAATTAAATGTGTTAAAGACTAAGAAATTGTGATGAATTTACAAATAACTACACGATATACGCACAACATCTGAGTTGGAATTGCAATTGTAGCTCTGACAGAAAAAAGAGCCGTAACAAGTTTACTCATAAATATATAAGTGATCCATATGCATGTTTCTGTTTTGAACAGGCTGTTTCTGAGCTACCCTCAGACCAAGACCTACTTCAGCCATTTCAACCTGAGCCATGGTTCCCAGGATCTCCGCAGTCATGGTGGAAAGGTTTTGAATGCCATTGGAAGTGCTGCCAGTCACTTGGATGATCTTAGCGGTGCTCTGTCTACCCTCAGTGACCTCCACGCTTACCAACTGAGAGTTGACCCTGGCAACTTCAGGGTAAGAACTTATTGTTATTTTTTGCTCCACTGTATAATGAAATTGGGTAATTTACAAGCTGACACACCATGAAACATATAGTACAAAGAACAGAATCCTGATTCTGCCTCTATTTCGTCTCTGGTTATATGGTCATTACATTTATTATATTTCTTGGGAAATATTAGTTAAAATATTTGGCCTATTTTGGGCATTATTTCACAATCTTATTTGCATTGGTAATGTTCAATAATGTAGCAAAGCTTGCAATGATTATTCCCCCTGTTAACAAGGAGTTTGCCAAATATGCCCAGGTACACACAGATGCACGGCCAAATTGGCATGTCTGGCCCATGTTTAAGTATCTATGGGCACTGAAAAGTGAAAAGTCAAGATTATCTCTGTATACATATTTATCACTGGTCTGTGTGTGTATATCTATATATCATATATGTATCTATATATATTTTTTATTTTGAATATAATTATTTTAAACCAACATTTTTAAGTAATATTGGTAACACTGTGTACACAGAAATATTCCACACATGTCTATGCTCAATAGTGTTTTTTAAGTGTTCTGTGCCTTGGCCTACTAGAAGGGTAAATAAATTAAATATATTTAATAAAGCAGTTTGGTGTTAATGTCTTAAAACTTCCAGTAATTTATAACTAATATTACATTCTAAAATCCCAGATTTGAAATAGATATTACTGATGTTTTGTAACTTGATCATACTTAGCAAAGTATAACACTTATTTTGTTTCTCTTGTAGCTGCTGTCTCACTCCATCCAGGTCACTCTGTCTGCTCACTTTGGAGCTGAATTCACTCCCACTGCTCAATCAGCCTGGGACAAGTTCCTCGCTGCAGTTTCTGCTGTTCTGGTTTCCAAATACAGATAAACTGGCAATGTAAATGTGACATTTCTAATAAAGTTTGTTCATTGCATTTAAAGAGGCTTGAGTCAATGGGTGTTTTTTTTGTTTTTTTTTAATTTGGATATGTGTAAACCCCAGATGTCTCCCAAGGTCCTTGCCATGGTGCCCACAGATACGGCCACAATAATATCACCCAAGAAGAACACTCACTGGTCTTATTAATGCAATAAAGTGTTGTTTATTAAAACATTCTTTACAAATAGGTAAACATTTCAGATTGTTGGTGTGTGTTTATATAAATACAAGTGACCTGACACTTTATAATCTCTACTAAAGGAGTTTCATAGCAATCAATCCGGTATCACAATAAGGCAATGGTGGAAATCCCATGGACATAGAAGAATTAGTAAAGTTGTAATAAGCATTCCTTAACATCATATGCAAAGAATGTTACGATGTACGTGGTAAAGGAGAAATGTTCTGCAGTGTATTGTGTTTATTTATTTTATCTGCTTTACGCGCCTCATTCACCCTCATCTTCTATCTCAGCAAATGAATGAAATGAATGTGTAAGAGGTGAAAATATACGTCTTTACAATCTAATGATAAAAACAATGTATCCTAGCAAATCACATCATTATACCACAATCTATTCTCAGTTCTACAATTAGATTTTGACTGAGAGTAATGATACAAGTGTACATTGGCTCCCTGTATGCTATAGGAGTCAATTCAAAGTGCTAACCCATACATTTAAAGCACTGAACAATTCTAGCCCCGCTTATATCTCTTCACTGATCCATAAATATGCCCCTCCTCGTACCCTCCGCTCTGCCCGTGACCACCTCCTGACCGCTGCTCGCACCCGTACGGCCAACTCGCGCTTGCAGGACCTCTCGCGGGTGGCTCCTCTCCTATGGAATAGCTTGCCTACTGCCATCAGACTCTCCCCTAGTCTTCAATCATTTAAGAAGGGCCTTAAAACCCATCTCTTCAGGAAAGCTTATGGCCTCCCAGAATAATCTCTACCTTACATACCTGTCTCCTGCTCTCTCCTATGGGACAGTGCTTTGCTCTCTCCTCCAGCTCTGCTTCACTCCTACTTGATATTTATTGTCCTAATGTTTCAAATACCCCACCTCCAATAGTCTGTAAGCTCGTTTGAGCAGGGTCCTCTTCAACCTATTGTTCCTGTAAGTTTTCTTATAATTGTCCTATTTATTGTTACACCTCCCCCTCTCAAAATATTGTAAAGCGCTACGGAATCCGTTGGCGCTATATAAATGGCAATAATAATAATAATAATAATAATAATGTAAATGGAGCTGTAACTTCTATGGAACTAACACCGTTGAATAAAACATTAAAAACTTTCCCTTTAAGACAGAAGTGTCAGTAGGTTTATGATTTACTTGTAACACAAAACTTCAAATAGACAATATCACTCCTTGCGGTGTGTTAATATTCCTGTTCCATATAATAACACCACTGCTTGCAGATATAACAGTGTCCTCTTACTTTGATAGCTGAGTGATTAGCCAATACACTTAGAAAGGAGATAGAAAGCCAATACATGAATGGCTCAATAAAATAATGAACCATTCATGCATTCAGATGAAGCATTTGAATAAACATTGGTCCAAATTCAGCATTTGAATATATATTTGTCCAAATACGAATGCCCTAGTCTAGTCTGTATAACAAGCCAATAAATTGGTACTGGCAGCTAGCAAAGAGTAATCAGAACAAGCCAAGGTCAGAAATTCAGAATAATCAAACAACAATCACATACAAAGTGATCCAATAAATCAGCTCTGTATTATAGATGCTGAAACAGTCTGTTATGCAGAGGGCAGTAATTATTGGAGTCCTTTCAAATTCCTTTTTTATATTTCTCTGAGATTACTTTTTACAGTGTGTAGGGGTGGGGGGGGGATTTGGGAAGAAAAGTCCTTGCCACAAATTTTCGGGATATTCTCTGATTCCAGAGAGGGTGGATTGAGGAACTGGGTAAATAAAATATCTGATATAACATAAAATCAAGAAATAGGTATGGCTTCCCTATGGCTGCTTTTTTATACAGCACATAGGAATTGAACATTGCAACCTGGCTTCAATAGAATGCAATTTTCCTGTACCAGGGCCTAGTTTTTTCGGTTCACCAGATAAGGCTGTATATAGTGATCAGTCAAGTCTACTCCCCTCTTATACTTGCTGTAGTCTACAATGCATTTCAGTTTTTCCAGCTTCTCAGTTCTTCTCTGACAGACACTGGCATTGTACTTTCGTTGTGCATTGTAGACAGGATGTACACACATTCCGTATTAAGGGTTAATAATTATGTAGGGTTTTAGAAAATACCCCTCTCTATCTCACTAGAGACTTATTTACCTTAAGCTGAAGGAAGCAAGGTCAGTTGTTAATGTAGGACCCACCTAAGAGTTTTGCCTTGTTGTGGAAGGTGGGCTTACACCTAGTGGCCATTGGAGTTACTAAATTATGGTAAATATGAATAGTGATTTGGGATAGTGTGCAGGTAACCTTTTTATTTAATTTTTTTTATTGTATGAATTGGGGCTGATGTGTACTATGGTCATTGCTTCCGCCCAGGAGTAGAGGGAGTTTGAGCGCATCTTTAGAATGGTGGGAGCAGCATGTCATCAATTCTTCCAAATACAGTTCTTACCAAAGTTACATTCTTAAATGTTATAAATACATAGATGACATGCTGCTTCTATGGACAGGTTCAATTCCATGCTTTGAAAAGTTTGTCACGGAACTGAACATCAATGTCATTAATTTAAAATTGACACATGTCATTGATGACAAGGAATTAATCATTTTGGACCTTAAGATTCTTTTGATGGAGGATAGAATAATTATAATTCAACTGTACAGAAAACCAAAAGCTACAAACAGCCTCCTCCACTGGGATAGCCCAGGGACGTATTAGCCGCGAGGCAAACAAGGCATTTGCCTTGGGCGGCATTTTTCAGGGGGCGGCAAAAAACGCCTCCCCCCCAAATGCACAGGGCAAATGCCTAGTTAGCCTTGCGGCTAACTGACATCCCGAGCGGGCGGGCGGCGCTGGCAGGCGGGCGGGGGGCTCTGGCAGGCGGGCGGCTGGCGAGGGAGCACTTCCTATGAGCTGTCTGCTCAGCTCCCTCGCGCGCCGCAGAGTGAGGCTGGGAGCCGGAAGATGTAATCTTCCGGCTCCCAGCCTCACTCTGCAACCGGCGCGCGATGGAGCTGAGCAGTTAGCTCATAGGAAGTGCTCCCTCGCCAGCCGCCAACCGCCCGCCTGCCAGCGCCGCCCGCCCGACCTGCAGCCACTGGACCACCAGGGTGTTTGTGTCTGACTGTGTGTGTCTCTGACTGTGTGTGTGTTTGTGTCTGACTGTGTGTGTGTGTGTGTGTGTGTGTCTGACTGTGTTTGTGAGTGTATGTGTGTGTTTGTGTCTGACTGTGTCTGACTGTGTGTCTGACTGTGTGTGTGTTTGTGTCTGACTGTGTGTGTGTTTGTGTCTGACTGTGTGTGTGTGTGTTTGTGGATACACCACTGGGATAGCCACCATCCACCAGTGGCGGATCCAGAGCCTGATCTCGGGAGGGGCACTTGTAGATTATTTAAAGAAATTTAATAGAAACTCCTTGTAGTGGTTATGGTGCCAGCAGTGCTGGGACCCCCTCCTAGAGTAAGTAGTCAAACCGTTTAAGAACAGTTTGACAAATTACCTGGGGTCTGCTGGGATATGGGGCTGTAGTAGGGCATAGGAGCAGTGGTGTGTGTGAGGGGTGCAGTGTGTGTGAAAGGTTGTGTGAGTGTGTGTGTGTGGTGGGTGTAGTGTGTGAATGTGTAGGGTGTGTGGGGCAATGTGTGTATGGGGCAACGTGTGTATGGGGGGTCGTGTGTGGGGAAATGTGTGTATGGGGGGCTGTGTGTGTGTGTGTGTGTGGGGGGCAATGTGTGTATTAGGGGCAGTGGGTGAATGTGTATGGTGTGTGTGGGGGCAGTGTGTGTGTATGGGGGGGCAGTGCATGTGTGTGTGGGACAGTGTGTGTGTATGTGTGGTGAGGAGGGTAGGGGGGCTTTTTTATAATTTATTTAAAATAAATAAATGTCCCCCTCCCTTCTTAACTTTACTGAGGGGGGAGGGGGGACATTTCTCGATCCCTGCTGGTCCATGGGGAATCCCTGGTGGTCGCAGTGGTGAGAGCTCCTGGGTCCTCAACAACAACAAGTCATCCATAATGAGATGCATAGGAACCTTTGACAGTGCTTGGCCCACTATGTCTAATATCTTGACAAGAATTGGCCCATAGACTGTAAGCTCGTACATAGCCACCTATAGACTAGGTGTCCTATTTATTGTTAAATCCCCCCTCTAATAATATTGTAAAGCACTACGGAATCTGTTATGGCGCTATATAAATGGTGATAATAATAACAATAATAATAATAATAATAATTTGGCAAGCATCCTTTCAAAATCCAACTGGCTCACCGAGACCAAAGGTACATTTAGATGTGGGCATTGTAAGGCATACCAGTACATTACTCCCTCAACTACAGTAACATCCACGCAATCTAAGATACATACAAATGCACTAATAAATTATAGAACCACTCGCATCATATATCTTATAACATGCAGTTGTGGAGCTCAATATATTGGTAAAACCATTCAGCAGTTTCGACGCAGGATACTCCAACATGTTGGTTCTATCACAAATGTCATCATTCCTACTCCAGTAGCCAGACACATCATTTTTTTTATTTTATATATTTTGATTTTCTATTAATTCAATTCTGATCAATATTATATAAAATTGTAATCCATAAAAAGTTTGTAACATTTTTGCTCTAAGTATACCTTATTTAAATATTAATAATTCTATTACACACTCAATTTAGAAATATTTATCACCTATTAATATCTTCCTTCGGGAATGTATACCTTACTCCGATACTCCACTATTATCGATATTTATGTATCCAGCATGTGGTATATAATAATCCTCGA